TGTGAAAGTAGCTAACACAATACTTAGTTCTTAACAGGTTCTCACTATGCTGTTTCCTAAACTTCTTAAGTTTAGGGGTTATGCTTAAATAAAAAATAAAATAAAATAAAATAAATTATCCACAAAGGGAAAAAAAGAAGAAAATTACTGCCTGAGAAAGAGACATTCAAGCATGAATAAATCCAAGGTGAAAGATGGGCTTTAAATTCTCAATAAATATCTTCTGTGTTTGTCAGTTTCTGGATGCAAACTCTTGGGATCTGTTTTTTAACACACTCCAGGGGAGTCCTTCAAAATCAAAAACTCAGAAAGATACATACATGCAAAAACATAAACTCTTCTTTCAAAAAAGGAGAAAAAATAGTAGAAAGAGGATTTTTTTAATGTTCAGGATTTTTCTGCTTCCATCAGATATTCTTAGTTAAGATTAAATTATTTTTCTAAGTATACACTGTGCAGATTATGTTACCATTGATTAACTCTTCTTGCTACCTTTCTTCTTGCTTTACATCCATCGTAGCAGTGCATGTATGTTGAAAATGTCATTTATAGAACACAGACGAAGGACTGGCTTTGTTATTATTTCCTTACAACATCTCACTGGCCTAGCAAAACTCTGTGAGTCACACCATTGATCTCCACATTTGCCCTCTGCTCTAGCTAGTGTTGTACTCACCATGAGGAAATACCCAATAAGCAGGACAGGCATTAGGAGGATGATGAGTAGATAGTCTATGAAGGTAAATTTTTTCTTCACAGCATAATGCAAGCAGGTTCTCTCTTTCTAAAAATTAAGAAAAGGACTCTTTACTAATAAAGTATTTTGTTTCTGATTTCATATTTTCAGATTACCATCTCAAAAAGTTTAGTTTGTGCTTTTTATTTTTATGGCACCTCTTTCTGTAGGGTATGTCTGATCCATAAACACATGTTTCCATTGAACTGAATAGTGAACACAGTCCAGTCTAAAGGAAAGGCTGGGGAAGGGCCTCTGCAGAACAACAAAGGCAAAATGTACGATGCACAAATCACTGGAAGACAAATTCTCACACTCATTTCAGTTTTTGGAAAAAAAAATACACTGAGATATACACATAGGATTGAATTTGTATGAAAAGCAATTGTTATTCTTTAGTCATTGATGGTGTATGATTATCCATCTTATGGTTTGTTCATAGGAAAATCTTAACCACATGGCAATTTTTCCATGTTCATTCATGCACACAGGCTAGAAAAATACAAGAAACTCAATTTTATTCTTCAAATATGTGAATATTTATCAGGTAATAGACATAAGATTTTAGGGATTAGGGGAGATGTGAACTTCAGAGCCTCATGATCAAAGGTGGACAGAAACATGCACAAGTAAGTATAATGCAAAGCAGGCTGTGGTCATTGGAATACTAATCAAATCAATAAGAGGAGAGGGAGAGCAAGAGAGAGAAGAGAGGTTAGTTTCCATTCAGTGGAGGTGCTGTTCCTTAATAAGAACACTTTTTATTTTTCCAAGTATCAAGCTATTTATGTTATCTGTAAAAATTTTAGAAAACAGAATATAATGACAGAATTTAAAATCACCCATTATCAAATGGCCCAGAGTTAATTGTTAACATTTTGCTGTATTTTCTTCCAGTGTTTTTGAATACATACAAATGGAATTTTAAAATGTAGGACCATATTGAATGCAAAATCTTATCTCGCTTTTTTCCAGTTTAGAAATGCACATTTAGAATATGTACATTTTCCATGCCACTCAATATCTTTAAACATATGATTGTAATGGCTGCATGGCTTTCTATTAAATGCAGCTACTCTTATTTATTTAGCCAAACCCTCCCTATTGGACATTTCAAATTTTCAACTTTTCATTTTTATCAATAATATGCTTGAACATCTTCATTTATAAAGCTCTGTCAACATTTCTAAATTTGTCCTTTGCATATGTTTCTAAAAATAGAATTCTTGGCATGAAATATTGTTAATGCCTTTCATATTGCAGTGACAAATTGTGCTCCAGTAAGATAATAATTTAAACTAACTTTCTGACCATTTGATTTTCTTTTTTAATCTTGGCCAATTTGACAAACCATAAAAAAGAAAAAAGTTTCTTTATGTTTTAATATAACTTGCTTTTCATAGAATGCATGTTTTCTACAGGCAGGTACCTCTGAATCACCTGCAGAGCTTTTTGTTTGTTTGTTTTTAAGGCCTTTATCTAGTACTTCTGGAAATAATTTATAAACAGATGTAAGAAATGAGAAATCGCTAGTTCAAATTATTGATGTACAAAGGTTAGTATTTGGAAAATTTTTTTAATTAAATGCTAAAACAACATTAGAAACATTAAAAAGTAGAAAATGCAAACCAACATCTTCTTCTGATAAAATCTCTATTAATTTAATGTATCCAGTAACGTCTTTTCATGATTTTTGTAATACCAGAGGATCCCAGCAGACTGGCTGAGGTTCCTCTTGGCAAAGCCGAGATAAGGGTGCCTCCCCAGCCCGGCTCCTGGCCTGTCAAACGTCTCCCTCCCTCAGTTTCCTAATGAACACAGGAACCCGCAGACATCTGTCTTCTGGTACAACCGCTCACCATGGCTCTACATACCTGGTTCCTCAGGTGCGTTCTAAAGAGATCATCCTCTACTAAGCTGTGTATCCATTAGAGTCAGCACAGGCATGACTTGCTTTTAAACCCAACAAAACAAAAAACAGGAAGCACAAACAAGAAAGTCCAGTAGAGATCAATATTCTGATAATACCTCATTGTTCCCAATGAGCTGGTCTTCAAAATGAGTCAGAAGGGGCGAGTAGAGCCCTACAGGTTGTTTTCTCACTGAATGCACGTGAGTGGGGGCAGAGCATTTATAATTATTGCCAAAAATGACTTTTAACATTAACTCAGTGTAACTTAAATGCTGCCTTCACTACGATGCAGATGCTGAATGTTCAGGAGGGGTTCTGCAAGGATTTTCATAGCAATAGACACATATTCCTCTCTTACTTGGTCCTGAAGACTCCAAAGCAGCTAATATTGCATCTTTAAATATATTCTTTATGCATTTCTGTGTGACTTCGAATAGCCTCTGGTTCATGAGCTTATTTGTCCTTGGTAAATTTCTCATTAACATTTTTTCATTCTGTAAGCACACTGCAGCATCTTCTGGAGATCAGGACATTAACATAGTAGGTAAAAATCTAACTAGTGAAACAGCATCATGAAGTCAATATTTCTTTTCCAGAACTTCTTTCCCATTACTTCTGTAACAGTGAGGAGGAAGAGGATAGAGAGAGGAGGGAAAGGGAAAAGAGGAGGAAAAGAAAAAAAGAAGCTCTATCCGTCCAAATGAGTGAACCATTCTCCTCTTCTTCAGAAGTACAAAGACATAATTAATGACAAAATATGCCTGCTGATTGAACTATGTTTTATTGTGCTTTTTAGCCTAATAAAATGTTCTTGGTATGCGTTAGTCTCTCTAAAGTAAGCTTAAAATAAATGTTGGTATTAGGAGCTACGAACAATAAAAAAATGACATTCACCCCTTCCAGTGATTCGAGGAGAAAGGAATTACCAAGGACAATTACACTCTCTACTCATGTGTCAGGAGCTTACCTGGTTTTTGAGGTTGACATTAGCATTTCTTTTTAAAAGGAAGGAAATGATTCTCATGTGGCCGCGCCTGCAAGCGCAGATCAGGGGAGTGTCTCCATTAAAGCTGTCTTGAACATTGACGTGGCTGTTGTCTTCTTTCACCCACCGCCACACCTGCCCAAAGTCATTCTGATAGGCCGCCTGGCAGATAGGCTGAATAGTGAAAAACAGAAGTAGGTTTTGAAATACAGGCATATTAAACCACAAAAACTGAAAAAAAAAAATCATAACTCAATAACTTAAAATCTAAATGTTTTCGAATTGTAATATATTGCTTTGTAGATTAGATTTTTGGTCTCAGTTATGCCTGGCCTTAAGTCTAGAACAAGCATAAGTTCATGAGGAACCTCTTACATTTTCCTAAATTGCTTGGCACACAGAAATTGAATAGACAAATGAGTGAGTACATGGATGAAATACTAGAAATTCAACTCAGTATGGAAACTGCATATTGTGCTCACAGAGAGATGAGCCTATCAGAAAAGCAGGATTTTGCCAAAGATAAAATAGATATGTCAAGAGGAGTTTAGGGCAGCCCCAGGTGATGGAACAAGAATGGCCTGGTCCCTGTACTCAAGGGACTCAACAGAGTGGAAAAGACAGGTTTTAGACAAATAATACACAAATAACAAAATACATAATTAACTACAATTGATTTGATATTGTTTATAAAAAGCATTATAAAGAGCTCTGCTAAGCACCATGGAAGTTCAATAACAAGACCTAAGGTAGCCTCATCTTGCCCACTTGCTCCCTCTGCTCCAGCCCTTCTGGGCTTCTGCTCCACAAATACCCCGTGTTTAGTACCTTCCATCTGGGCCTCTGTCTGACTGCTCTCTCTACATAAAGCACTCTCCCAGCCCTTTCTCTGAATAACTCCTTGCTTATCCTTCCTGTCATAATTTCATTTTTGTTTTATCCAAGAAGTCTTTTCTGAGTCCCAACATTTGGTATTTCTCCTTCACAGCAACTGACATAACTGCAACTCTTTTTTGAATTATGTACAATCATGTATCGTACAGGCTGGCATGACTCAAGAAGGATTTTAGACAGCGCCAATAGAGGAAGCACTGAAGTTCAAGCTATAGGCTCTGTGGGACTAGGCTACATCCATTCAATTCACCTCTGTACCCCAGCATTCAACATAGCACTTGGCACGTGGTAAACAAACACTAAATATTTTTAGACTGATTTTAATTAGATAATGTAAAATAAAGCATTTAGAATAATACCTGGCACATAGATGGTACTTAATTTATGGAAGTTATCATTACTTCGTCATTATTTAATTTAATAACCAAGTCTACTGCATGCTAATCATAGGTGCTGGAGGAAAAGAATATAAAATATGTTACTTTTAGCCATGTGAAATTTATCTGAGGAAATAGGACACGGAAACATATACATAGAATAAAAAATGAGAAAACAATTTTAGAGTATGGGCAGGTATGTAAGCAGCGGCAGAAGCTGGGACAGACCAGTGAGAAAGTCAAGTGGGTGTGTTTGCTAATAAACTCAGATTCTAACATAGCTGAATATCACAGCAAGTGAACTATAATTTACTTTCAAATCCAAAGACGTACTTATAAAAGAAACATCCTAAAGGAAAATCAACTCGGTAACAGACAAAATTCTATACCCCAAAACAAAATGAGCATGATACATGGGTTCCAAGTTTCAAGAGAAATGCGTAATTATACAAATCACCTATTCTATTACACTGACGTCTTCCCTTTGCTAGGCTTTTCATCATGTGGGCACAGTAGTGTCTTAGGGAACCACCGGGCTAATGTAGAAAGGACTGGGGCAGCTGAAACGCATGTCTGGTGTCAGAAAAACTGGGTGTAGCTGTGACTCTGCTACTATCCCCCCGAATGACTGTGGACTATTCACTTCCCTCACCGTCTCAGTGTCTTCAGTCATTAAGTAAGGGAGCAAGGCAAAAGTTCCCTTGAGTTTCCACATTCTATGACCTCTGGGACTCTAGTCTCTACGAACACATCTCTCACACCACCTCTGGGGTCTAGGGTGATCCCAACACAGTAGAGCTTTAAAACTTTCAGTGAATTGTCTTAGCAGTGATGCCCAGTCACTTGGGTTTCAATAACAAGTAAAACAAAACTAAATGAAACAAGACGACATAAAGTCACCAACTCTTAATTTTGCCAGTTACATGCATTAGAAACAATACCATTATTTCATAAAAGACATGAAATATAAAGTTATAAAGATAAAACAAGGGTAATTTAACAAAATATATATGTAAGGATATAGTCATGGAGAAGGAAGCAGCCCTTTAAATTGGATAGATTAAGCTGTATGGAAAAATCTCATTTTGTTGTCCTTTTTTTAAAGACAATTTCACCACACAAACCAGTGATTAATAGTGATCATTACTAACCAAGCATTTGGGAATCAATGTTCTACCATGAAGACCTTGAAAACAGAGGGTTTTTTTGTTTTTGTTTTTTCAAATTTTTAAATTACTTCACAACATTTTGAAAAAACTTTACTATTTCATGTAGTAATCTGGCATTCCAGCCTCTGCTTAAAAATTGAAAGATGTGATAACACTGGGCCCATATCCTGTAGGACACCGAATAACCAGTACTTGGCGGCAGTGACCCCAATTCTGCACAGTCCTCGCCACTTCCTGTCACATTACACTTAGTCCATTTCACTTGACTATGTTGCGGGCCTGGCCCCTGACCTCAAGGATAAAGACCCCACTGCTGGGGCTCCTCCAAGTCTTTACTGAGAGTTAACTAAAAAGAGCAAGAGGAAAAGGTGGAGAGTTGTCCTGCAAGAGTCACTCGGTGCTTAATCTGATCTTACCTTTTGTCTTCTCTAGGGTTCCTATAGCTAAAACACAGGGTTTCTGATTTTGAAAAGTGGAGTGTCTTCCTGGCTCAGTTGAGATGTACAAGTACAGCCATGCATCCCTTAATGATGAAGATACATTCTGAGAAATGTGTACTTTGGAGATTTTGTCATTGTGCGAACATGATAGAGTGTGCTTGCACAAACCTGGGTGGTATAGCCTACTGCTCCTAGGCCACAGACCTGTACAGCATGTTACTATACTGAATAATGTAGGCAATTGTAACACAATGGTCAGTATTTGTGTATTTAAACATATGTAAACATTAAAAAGATAGAGCAAAAATATGGCATAAAAATATTCAAAATGGTACACCTGTATAGGGCAGCTCCATTATAATCGTATGGGACCACCACTGTGTATGCGATCCATCCATGCCGTGCTCGACTAATTTAATGCAAGAGTTGCACTAAACCGCTGAAATATTCTATGCTGTTCTGAACTCTCAGATTCCACTAGGGGGCAGCTCAGCGTTAGGAAAGCACTGACAGAAGGGCCGCGCAATAGACAAGTGCTTGTTGACAAACTAGGAATGAAAAAGGGGAGGAGCTGTCCATTTGGGTTGAGAGAAGAGCTATTATGAATCCCTTTTGGCCTCTGAAATTCCTGGAATTTGGAGGCACCCTGAATGTGGAGGAAACACACTTGGGCAATTATCATGAATATTCCCTAATACTCTCAGAACCCTTCTGTTCAACCTTACTGCTAAAGTACTAGTTCAGATCATCATTCTCACCAGGGCTATTGCAAAACTAGCCATAACTGGCCTTACATCTCCCTGTCTCGCACATCGGGCCTCCAATCCATTCTTCAAACACAGCAGCTGCATATCACTTCCCTGGTGAATTAGATTAGGATGCTGTCCTCAAGCTGCCACATGTGATTCTTCAAATCTTGCACATCCTGTCTTTCCAGTCTCATCTCCTACCACTCCCTTATCCACAGCCTTGATCTAAGTAAATAAAGGTCTGCATCTTATTAACAGCCATCCCTCCAACTAGACTGTAAGCTACATGAGGGCAGGTATTGTGTCTGTACTTGTTCATCACCATATCCCCAGCACCCAGTATAGTACCCGACACACGGTAGGCACTCAATATACATTTGGTGAGTAAATAAGTGAATGAATAAATTATAAGATGAACTAACACTTATTGAGTACCTCAGTCATTCCACTTAATCCTCACAACAACCCTATAAAGTAAGTAGTATTATTATACCCGTTTTGCACAGATGAAACTAAGAGAAGCCTTCTTTGCCCAAAGTCATACAGCTCATAACAGGCAGGGCCAAAAGTTAAATCAAGGGAAATGATTGCAGAATGTATACATTCTGGCTCTAATTACTTCAGCCTTGAAAATCAGCCTTCAAAATGTCTTCCAGCTCCAGACTTTGTGTTTGAGACTTGCATGCAACATTAAGCTACAGTCTACACTCTTAGGATACTGGCCAGTCCACTTCTAGCATTGGTTTACTGATGCTTGGTTATATACCCAGATTTTCTCCAAACTGACCTAGAATTAGCAATATCTGCCAAGAGGTAGGAAATAGTGATCAGAGAAGCTGCAGGAGAAACCAGGAAAAGATATGACCAAAAGACAAAGGAGGGAAAGTTTCAAGAAGAGAGAAAGATCACTGGATTTGATAATTAAGGCCATCTAGAGAACAATTTTCATACAACGATGGGGTGACGGGAGAATACAGGGCCTGAGTGCATTACCAATGGAGAATTAGAGGCTGTGACTGGAGAGGAATAGTGGTAAGTTTGGCGGTGAGAGCTGCCAGTGAAAGTTGGCAACTGCAGAGAGGGTGGGTAGCAAGGTCCAGCCAATGTTCTGCACATTTGCAGGCAAAGTGATGTTGCCAAGTCATTACAAACACAGGCTCTGACAGCAAACTTTCTGTGTTCCAATCTCAACTCCTTCACTTACCAACTGTGTTATTAATATTTGGACAACTTACCTAAACTTTTTGTGCTCACTCTCCTTCTGCATTTAATAATCATGTCTTCTTTATTAGATCACAAAAAGAATTAAATGTGACTGTGTAGAAGAAGCACTTAGCTAAGGTCTGACTCATAATAGACCCTCAAGTAATGTTAGCTACTCTTATAATTATTAAGGCATAACCATCAAAAGCAGAGTTTGAGTATCAAATCTCCTGGCTGTGTGGTTTTTAACAAATAAATTACCTTCTCTGTCTTAATTTCCTCTTCTGTTAAACAGAAAAACAATGTGTATCTAATCCATAAGGATGTTATAAGTATCAAGTA